TATTTTCAGTTTATTAAGGCAACCATATTTAGAAGATAGTCTGATGCTCTCAATAAGGTGGGGTTTTCAGTGCCAGTCAGGCAAGATCTTGAAAAGGATAAGCTTTAAAAAAAAAAAAAAAATATATGTATGTAGGGCCAAAATTTGCTTTCAAGCCTACCTAGTAATCATACTTCCAGAATTTTTCTTCTGATAACAAGGAACATACATTAGTGTGAGAGTATTGCCACAGTTTCCAGTCACTGTAAGAAGTTTGTATTTTTAAAGTGTCCAAGAAAAGGCATTTAGTAAATATAATGTTCTCTTAGTGTTACGCCCTCGGAATGATACCAGGAGCAATGCAGCTACTGGAATGGAACTTGTACGCTTCAGTTGTAACTAGCGTTTTCCATTTCTCTGGAGCTTTGAAGAATTTTCATATGTTGGCTTAAGTTTACCAAATTTGGGCTAAGAATGAAAATATGATTTTTTTTTTCTCCTTTAGCAGAAGTAAATCGTTGTTATCATTAGGATGGGGACTGCCTTTTTTGTTTTATTGGCCTGCCGTAGGGCACACAGGGATCATGCATATGTCTGGTACTCACAGTCACTGAAGCCACGCAAATGGTAAACAATCATTTCAGAATGGAAAAGTGGAAGAAATGCATATTCTTGTCTTTTCTTGTCTTTAGGTGTTATGTGAGTGCAGATCTGGTTTCCCGGAAATGTAAGCCCTTATCCTCAGTTATCGAGTTATATTTTTTGTATCATTAGGCCACAAGCCAATATAAAAAATATTTTATTTCTCAGTTTATGTGCAAAATTAGGCTGAAAATACGGTATGTTCCTGGTGAAAACTGTCCAGGTTTCCTATGGCATTTTGCCCTTCTTTTGCCAGTATGGTAGAGACTTCTGTGCTATGATCACAGGGATTCACAGGTTATAGATCATGAAGCTTGCATCTAGCAGGCATAACTTTATATTTTATGTCAGGACTGGAGGCTCGTTATTACTTTGCTATTAACTTTATACTATACAGGACAGTATCTCAGAGGCAGAGGGATCTATCTTTTTGGCATTTATCTACCTCTGTGGCACAAACAATCAGAGATGATTCTTTAGCAGAAAAATTATCTGTAGCTACTATTTGTTTCAAGGAGAATGACACAATCCACCTTTGCCTGCACTGTTGCACTTCCATGGGTTCCCTTGCATTTTCATCCAGTGCACAACTTTATCTCAGTCCTTAGCTGCTTGCACTGTTCCCTGTACCTGTATGGTTTTTTTCTGTGTCCCCAGTTGGCACAATTTTCTGAGCGCAGAATGCCAAAGCAAATTACAATCAGGTTTGAAAGGGATAGGTATCAAAATAGTCTAAATGGCCTAAATAATTCCCTACTGTAATACAAGCTGTCTAGGGGGCTGACACAGAACATCTTCCAATCCAAGATTTACTTCTATCACCTGTCAGAGACCCTTGATTCAAGGGCAAATGAGCAAATCCTCACATGTAGTTGAGGAGTCTTAACCGGCTTTAACAAGCCTCCTCTCGTCCCAGCCTCAAGGCCTGAGGTGTCCTGACACCCCAGAGAAATGTTCAGCTGCTGATAGATAGTTGACACAAGAGAAGGACTGGCTGTAGCACCAGCCACTTAGACTTCTGATGCTCTTGATTCTGGTATTTCTTGCTCTATTCCTCTCTTTTCAGATGAGATTATTTTTATGTACCTGGAAAAATACTTTACCCCATGAAAGATGCATTTTCTTTGGAAATACTACAGGGAGCAGACAGTACAACTCGGTGTGAATAAGGCTGGCAGAATCTGGCTCCTGGTCACTGGTGGAGCAAGGCGTAGGGATTAGTTTGGTAAATGGGATGTTATCCCTGGAAGATGTTGGTTTTTAAACAAAAAGAAGCACAGGAATGTTATGTTGAAATAAAAGCCACTAGTTTTAAGACTTGAAAAATGTTTGTACTTCATTTATTTGCAAACACGATGCACCTCCAGTAGGATTTCCTTGATACAGTCTTTCTCAACTGTAAAGTAGATCTGTGACATAGAAAAAAAAATGGACCTATCGAGAGATTCCAGGTGTTTCATCAGTTGACGTTTTTATTCTGTGTTGGCTGTGCTGTGTCCTTAATGACTGACCTGGTCCTGTGAGAAGTGCACACTTTGAACACAGAATAAGCTAAGTCTTCGTCCGATTTTGTCCTGGTAAAATTTTCTAATATTATTTTATGATCTGAATGCATCTTCTTCTAGTCCTGTTCTACAAGAATCAAACTATGAAATTCTTTAAGTCTTTCACTGCCTATGTAAAAATCAGTGGCCCTTCTTCTGTTTTGTGAATTGAGGCAATGGCAGCTTCAAGAGTAGTCCAGGGTTTGACCAGAATTTTATCACACTGTAACGGATTCTTGCACCTCTTTGTCAGATGCTTTACAGGAGGCACTTGTGGCTGCCGAGTCTATGGGCAGAAACCATCTTAAGAAACTTAGACCACTTGCAATATCACCTGGTGCTATATGGTAAATAAGGGACAGCTGTGGTGCTGCAAGAACGTATATTCCTTGGTTCTGGTGCCTCTTGACTGGGAAGAAAAATTCTCATATTTGGAGTCATCCTGAAACTAGTTTTTTTTAATTCATATTTTGTCCCGGATAGAAAATCTGCCTGAAGATAAGATGATAAACAACGTGGCAAATTTTAGTGTTGGATGAATTTAGAATTAGTTAAATTCCACAAAAAAATTAAGCAATTACTTGAATTTTACAATTAAAATAACAGTAAATAGTCTCTAAATCAGCCACCAAAAACATGCACACACACACAAAAAACCCTACATAACATCATGTAATTTAAATATTTTGCCTTATTCATGATCAACTAGAAAATTCCATAAGAGAGAAAAAAACAAAGAAGGGTAATTATTTCTGTCTTGAAATAAAAACATGGAAACAATTCAAACAGTTAATTCTTAATTTCTTTTTTTTTTTATGCTGTTCTTGTTCTGCTCTTCTCCTTTGTCTGCCTTATAGTATCACTCTAGTTTTCCCTTCTTTTACGTGTTTCCCAGTAAACTTCCATTTAGTGCTGTAGTAGTTGGCTCATTCCAGGTCCAGATCAGTCACATCCTGTATTCTCTTGCATGAAATTCCATTTCTTAATGTTGGTTTGTAGTCCTGCAAATTACAAAGCCTGCATCCTCATCTTCTACACAGTGGCAACCTGCGTTTGCTTCTTGTGTGGTGGTTGTGGTGGGATCTTCCTGGGGATCATAGGAGTACATTGTAGTAGCAGGGAGTTAGAGGGTAAGTACGCTCCCAGTGCACAGCAGTTCTCTGACCATCTCCCTGAACCTATGGAACTGCTTAGGAACATTGGATCTTTGTTCAAATATTTTCATGAATTTTTGAAGTCGTACAGATCACTGTTTGTGTGATTGCTTCTGCTCACTCATTTCAGTCTAGCGCTTCTCAAGACATTTATAGGTCAGTGTCATAAAGAAAGAAAATTTAATAATATATGTGTTTTTATCCAGACGAGTGACTCACTCTGTGTTTCTATTTCTCATGTGAACTGCTCTTTGACTTTAATGTGTAGTTACATTACTCGGCATTGAGTTTAATGTATAATGTAGCCTCTTTCCTTCAACTTCCCCACCACAGCTTTAAAAAATTATAATGTTGAATACCACAGAAAATGTAGCACAGTAAGAAGACTTGCTGCTCATTTCAGCGAGAGGTGAAATTTGAAGAGAATCTGTGTTGGTTTTCCTTTTCTATTTATGCCAACATTTGCAGCAGAGGGTGGAACTTGATTATAGGAAACCCTTGACCAGAAATGACACCAAAAATCTGGGTATCGTAAAGCTTTCTACTTGGAGACGTTGTCTAGTGGAACACTTTTAATCCCATTTCTGAGTATACGAATGTCAATCTTTTTTGCTATGGAAGAGCAATCTATGTCATTTACAGGATTTCTCATAAGAAAACTAGGGGTCAAGGATGTACTTATTTTTATATGCCTTGTATGCAAAAACGTTGACCAGACTAAAAGCAAACAGAATTTACTTTAATATACTTCAGGCTTCGTTAGCAAGCCTGTAAGTGCCTCTCCAGGGAACAGCCTTAATAAACACAACAAATAGTTGGAAATAAGAAGATAAAACCCTGTAACATGTGAGCAGACAGCTGCGTTTTGTGGGTCTACTCATTCCTTAGGTCAAATGAAACCTGTAAGATTCTTTCTGTGCTGCTCAACACGTCATGTGAAAGAAAAATTAGACTAAAAGCAATAGTCTCCTGTTGAGACAACCGAGATAAGATTTCTTCCATCTTACTAAGATTCTGGTTAGTCGCTCAAGACTTACCAGTTGAAGGCACCATTTCATTTTTATTTTTTCCTTTCATTTATGTGGAAGCTGGATCCTCAGTAGCACATTCATTATGTGTGTTGTATTTCTGCCTATAACTGTAGGTAGAAATTGTCTGGACAGTCATGATTATAAATAAAAATTTCACTTTATCATCCACAAATCAACATCAATCACCAAGATTTATAGTTTTTGTTATTGTGTTATTTCGTTTTTCATTTAAAAGTACATGTTAAGTATGTAACTGCACAGAGAAATTTATGATTTCAGTGAGGTATGCTCTGTGTCCTAAAAAGCTCGTCATCAAAGACGGAGAACTCGAAAGAGGTAAAATCAAAGAAAAGATGAAGAAGGAAAGAAAAAGGAAAGCTGTAATTCATAGAATCATAAATTCACAGAATAGTTTGGTTTGGAAGGGACCTTAAACATCAGGTGTTCAGGTACTGGAAGGATGCAGTAAGGTTTCCCTGGAGCCTTCTCTTCTCCAGGCTGAACAAGCCCAACTCTCTCAGCCTGTGCCCATAGCAGAGGTGCTCCAGCCCTCTGAGCATCTTTGTGGTCTCCTCTGGACTTGCTCCAACAGGTCCATGTCCTTTGTATTTGGGAAGGGAAAGGCAGGGGCTGGGAGCAAAACAAAACAAAAAACCCAACCCATAACCAACCAAAAACCCACCCCCCTCACACCCACACCCCCAAAAAAACCCCAACACAAATCCCCAACAAAAACTCAAAGACAGATTCTAAAAAGAGTCAGTGAAGAATTTGGTGAGAGGCAAGAGAAAAAGAAACCTTTATTCTATAAAGCCTTAAGCTTAATAACTACTTTTGCACAGGCTGGTTCTCCCCATGATCTGACCCTTTTATCAGATGCTTTCCCAAACTGTGATTGTTGGAGACAAAATTTTCCATGTCAAGTGACTTAACTGATGCACTTCAGAAGCTGCTTGCAGAACAATCAAAAAGCCAGACCCATTTCTTCTTCTGTGATTTTGTGGTTAGGAAGCACAGCTTTTTGAAAGTGCTTGTGTTAAAAAGAAGGGAAAAAAAAAAAAAAGACCTGAAGATAGTGTGTCCTTGTTCTTGGAATGTGTGTCCTTCTGGTTTTCCCCTACAGAGCTTCGTGACCATTGGGGAATTTTAGGGCACCTATCCTTCATTTTTTGTAAGGCTTGCTATTGGTAAAGTTAGACAGGGTGAGGCACAGACAAGTCTTCTACAATGGTGAGGTGGAGGTGTGGGTTGGTTTGAGTTATTTTTACCATTATTAATCTTTAAATACATAGGCTTTGTCCTTACACATTTTTTGGATACACTATTTTAGAGTTATTGTATAGTGTTGTTTAAAAAATACTGTCAGTATAGCTTTTTGATTTGTGTTGTTTTAATTTTGTATGAATTAGATCCTTGACTGAGATGAGGGAGAAAGCTCCTGAAATATTTAATGGCAGCCCATATAAAAATATAGTTAAGATTGTTGCCTGAAATGTCCGGGGACAGGAAGGGGGGAGGGAAAATTGGGAGGCAAAGGCTGACAAAGGGCATTCTGTCCCAAAGATACGGAAGGCAAAATATTCTTAAATTAGTAGGACTGTTGAAAATTAAGTAAAATACATAAAAGTCCTGCTGCTACAACTAATACACTCTTCAGCACCACCCAACCCAAAGAAATATCTCACCTTTCAGATTTTTTTTTTTTTCAACGATACTTATCAGCATGGTTAATTTTCCATAAAAATAAATACTTTTTCCCCTGTGCGGCGGCTAAGAATTACAGGCCATGCTAGGCTGTCCTTTTTCCTCCCAGTTTACTTGGCTTTTATGTGTGTTGCTGTGATGTGTTTTCTGTCAGGCGAGATTTACACATAGTCCACTTGACAGGAGCAGTTAGCCACAAGGATTTCCTAAGGAGAAACTTCCTGGAGCGGTGGGTGAGGATTATCATTTTTCTCTTGGCCACGATGGAATTTGCAAGCCCTCCTGGCTTCCACAGGCCCTCGCTCGTCTGTCGGCCCCACTGGCCCTGCCCCAGCACAGCAGCAGACCTTTACCTGATCCATCCTCCCCTGAATGGCAAACCAAAAATCTCTTCTCAGTTCAGGTCTGCTTTTTTACAAGGGGTCGAGTTGGCAAGGTTCTAATGCATTTTAAATGAAAGCAGTTAAAATAAGTATGTATGTTATCTAAAATACCTGTGGCTTTACTACTTAGGCTTGAAAACGTTGCTGTCTTCTTTAATACTGGAAGATAAAATAAATCAGGCGCAGGAAATCTTCAGTTCAAGAGCAGGTTACGTTGCTAGGGAGTCTATGGTCTCCCAGAGAGTTTAATTGAAGCAGCAGCCAGTACCATGCAGGCTGCTGGGAGAATCAGCTTCTCCAGAGCAGAGAGTCAGTGTCTGACAAGAAAACCCCTTTTGGGGCAGGAAGGACGTACTTCCTAGCAGTCTCAATTTGTCCAGCATAGAGGCTTCCGCATTGAGTCCTGCCCCTTCACCTTTCCTTGTCCCATGAAACAATAAATGAAAAATAGTGGCTGCTGTTCTCTCCAGCAGCTGCTAAAAGCAATTATTCCAACTCTTTATGGAGCTTTCAGAACTTGCTTCGTTGTCCTTTCGTACAGCGTTAGGGGCTTTTCAGGCCTGAGGACCTTGTGTTTCTCTTTCCTTGGGTGGAAAAAAAACCCCAGCAGTCTCCAAGAATGAAAAATGCAGATTTCTCAGAATTCTGGCAGAGTCTCCAGGAAGTCTTGAGTGTCTCATGCTTTAAGAATGCTTGAAAAAATCTGGCTTGGAGGTATGGCCACTTGGGAGTGGCCTTTGGCTAGTGATGTGTCTTCTGGTGGTGGTGTGTGTCCCGCCACTCTGAAAAGCTGCAAACTGTACCTGCTAAGAGGCTTAGGTTCCATTCTGAAACTGCCTATTCTAGACCTCTGAACAGTCTAAAGGTAGGTCTCCACCCCGAGCAGTTTTATTCACATTTCCTAAGTTAGAGGTGTTGATTCCTTATGTAGTCTTTAGGGAAAATACTTCTGAAGGCTTGCACAATGCAGACAGGATCACTTAAGGCAGGAGCTGCCTTTTGTCTTCTGCATACAAAAAGAAACCTGTTTCCTCCCTAAATGGTAATTACATGTGCCTGTGAGCCACACAGACCATCTCTGGAGCAACCAGTTAGAAAAATGGGATGCAGGTGTCTTAGCTAGGTGTCACAGTATGTGTACTTGTCATGAGACTTTGTCTTAGTGTCTTCTAAGGGGTGGACCCCTCTGCCAAAAGGAAAAGTACTCTTTTCACATAACAACTTAGAAGCTAGAGATTTTTAACTTCAATTAGTAGTCCTTTGGAGATTTTTAGTGCCGTCGCGTATTTGGCAGAGATTGAATTTCAGTCTTCTGAAAATATTATTGTCTGTGTTTGGTGGTTGTGGTTTGTTTGGGTTGGGTTTGGTTGGGTTGGGTTGGGTGGGTTGGGTTGGTTGGTTGGGTGTTTTTTAATTAAACTTTTAAGTCCTGAAACTGGCCCACATATCAGAAAAGATTCCTGAGGGCAGAAGGTCAGCAGGCAGGAGAGAGGGAGTGGAACACTGAGTTCTGGCTTGTATTCTCTATCCTGGTTTATGTGTACTGTTTGATGGATAAGATGAAAAATGCAGGACCAGAGACAAAAACAAAGACATTTTCCTCACGGAGATGTTAGTTTCTGAGCAGGCACTGACTACAGGCTTTAGACTGATTTCTCACCTTGTCTCCAGCAGTGTGGCTCTCAGGGTGGTTCATGGGCCCAGCATCAATGGGAAGCGTAGGGCGAGAGGAATGCCTGTCGCCTGGTGATGGTATTTTCATGCAGTAAGGCCCAGTAACATGGGTACAAAACTTTCTCCTTTTTGGTGCTGTGGAACATCGCACAGGAGGTCAGCTGACTACACATGTGCCCATGCCATAGTGAGAATAGTATTTTGCAGTTAATACATTGTATTTGGAAATTTTGTGTTTTCAGCGGTTACATATACATGGACTAAAATCTATAGCAATGAATTTGTCAGAAGTTGAAACTTGTATTGCTTTTCTGTTGATGAAAACTGATAATGCCTATCTTCTCTTGTCACTTTCTAGGAGAAAAACCATTCAAATGTGATGAGTGTAACTTCGCTTCCACAACACAATCGCATCTGACACGACATAAGCGTGTCCATACTGGAGAAAAGCCTTACAGATGTCCCTGGTGTGACTACAGGTAATGAGTCATTAACTAAAGCATGATGATAGAAGGGTTAAGGTGATCAGATGAGGTTCATTTGAAGTCACCAATAAAAATATATTGCCATTAAAACACCATCAGGGCGGCAGTAATTGCATAGTAAATTAGGAGCTAAATTTAAAAACTTACTCTTCAGTATTTAGGTATTACTTTATAAAGAAAAACGAATGATGGGAAACCTTTTAGTGGTAACACTGCAGTGCTAACGCTGAGTGTTTGTTTCACAGCTGCTCTAGTGTCTGCTGGAATTCTCCATGGTGAGGCTGCTTATCTGCATCGCCTTTTCAAATCAGATGCAGTTTTGAAATTTTTCTCGCTTGAGTTGCAACCATTTCACCAAGAAAGGAAAAGTCCCCAAAAAGGCTTAGCAGCCTAAATACTCACCAGACACTTATTAGAAGGAGAAACAACTGGAGCTCGTTACAGAGCTGCGGAGTCTCGTTTTTCTGCTCCAGTTTTCCTTCTCCTTGCCAGCCAGGGTGTTTGCATGAGATTTGGCCATAGGGTTGGTGGCATGGCGAAGTCTCCTGTGTTACGCCACTAAAACCCACCCTGTTGGGACAGCATATTACATTCTCAAAAATCACATCAGTGGACAGTTGAAGTTACATGTGGTGCTCGTCCCATGTGTCTTTTATTTATTCTAGGCTACTTAATAAATGATCTCCTATTGCTTCTTAAATGATGCTTTTCTTAAGCATGCTGCTTCCTCAGTCTTGAATACTTTTAATACCTTGCTGTGGGGTGGCTAGTCTATGCTGTAAAGGAATCCATACAAGTTATTCGTCAGCAATCAGCGGGAGTTTACATTCAAAAAGATTTTTGAAAAATGGTTATTGTATTTGATAAATGGCACGTGATTACGCAGTTAGGTGCCTGTGCTGTGCTGCATGCACGCAAAAGGAGAAATTTAAACATTTGATTATACCACCATAGCATTTTTTATTTTCTTTTAATGCTGAGCATACAGCTGTAATGTTCTTTCAGTATAAGTTTTAATGTAGTTTCCTAAAACGAGATTATATGACAAAGCCTAGCCGCTCTGGTAATACCTGGTTTCACGCTATTTATGAGCTACTTTACAGCAAGCTGCTGTACAGAAGGCTTCTGCAGTAATCACGCAGTATCTATACAAAAGCTGTTGTTGTGTTGGTTTGTGCAGGCGGAGCAAGTGTTCCGGGGACTCTTCGGTGTGGCGCACCCATGAAATTAGTGCTAGGACTGCAGAGAACTGAATTTTTTAACTTCGGGAGGGGCTTCCATTTCTGTGCTGCTGCCTTAAGGGTCCCCCTGCTTCTCTTATTTTTTTAATAAAAGTGTTTCTGTCAGTCACCTGAGAAAGAGAGGTGGGCCTGTGTTTGTCAGGGTGGTTGCGTTAAAAGGTCTGTGTTGAGTGAAGTGAGAGCATGTAGGTGATGGTGTGACATGATGTGCTGCAGCGAAGGTAAAAGGAGTGCTGTCTTTGCTGCCTGTTTGAAGAGGCTTAATCTTGGGGTCATCCACTTTAGTGAACCATCCCAGTATGAAGGAATAGTCTCTACTGCAGAACTTGGTAATGAGAGGTGGGTTACGGTGGGTTTGAGCTCTTGGTTTGAAGACCCTAGAGACTGGGAGTGTTGTAGGTGTGAATCAGTTTGCGGTTCAGGGTTTGTTACACACACGCGATGAGTAGATGCAGTTCCCTCCCTCGGTATGACAAAATGCATAACTTCAATGCTCTGTTTGGTAGAAGACGAGATCATTTTTCATTGGAAGGACAGTTTTCTGTATGCAATAGAAATTCCAAGAAATTACAAGCTTTTTACTAGCATTTTATTATATTGGAGGTTATTATAGAAGAAGTAAGTATAACTTATTTTATTGGGATTAAAAAGAAATCTCTGAGCATCCCCTGCCTCTACGTTATAGAAAATTAAATGTTTTATGGTAATAGGATGTTAGTTTCCATCCCTTGCAGGCCAATTTTGACCTAATCTTTGGAGGCTGATCTCTACAGATACCAGCTGATGAAGCTTTGATTCTGCAGGAAATTTGTTCTGAGCTCAGCTGAAAAACATCTGGCAGGGATGCAGGATCAGAGCTGTGCTGCTGCTGTAAGTTCATAGAGGCCGCGAGGCTCTCTGTGTAGCTGCTGCAGAGGAGCCCAGCAGAGGGGCTGCTGTGTATGTTAGCCCAGGAGTCCTGCTTGTGCCTGCCAGCTTCCACAATCCTGGGATATTAGCCAGCCTTGTTGGCAAGTATATTTTTTGCTCTCTATCCACCTCTCGTTTTTTCTCTCTCTTTTTTTTTTAAATTGTAATTTTAAGGGAATCGCATGTTGCCTCCTTGTCAACTCACCCAGTATATCTCTTTCGTGGAGAGGTATTAGCAGCTCTGAAAAATATCTTTTATACCAGTTCAGCAGATGGTGTGTACTCTTGCAAGTGTCACCTAGAGAAAATACACAATCAGGATTTAAAAATCTTTTGGCCTAATGGTAAAATTCACCCCCTCTCTAGTGATCCTGTTCTCACTGTGGTACTCTCGGCTCAGCCCTTGCACTCCAAGTTCATCCAGACTCTTTCAGATGTTGCTGTTTAGCGTTGCTTGGCAACCACTGACTCAGTAATGACCCTTGTCGTTTCAGCCAGGTGAATGAATATTCCTCGGTTTGTGTACAGATACGGAATATTGTTAGTGCTACCATAAAGTCTCCTTTCACTGATAGGTGAAGTGATCTCCCTATTCAGTAAAGTACTTTGAGACACTTGAATTAGAAGTGTCTAAATACAAGTTACTTTAATTATTCCTGTTAGCTCCCCAGTGCTCAGAGGGTTCTTAGAGACTCCTGATTTCGAGCGTTTCAGTTCCTCAGGAGGAAATTGTGAACAATCATCCTGCAAAAACTCTTGCCAGTCTGGTGAGTGAAAGGCTAACTAACCCTGGCCAGAAGTACAGAAAAGAAGGCTGCTAAAAGAAACTAACCTAATTTAGGAACTGTTCTGAAAAATCTGGATTACCTGGGCCTGGGCAGGGACCTAGAACTCCTTCTTTGTTTTGCTTAGCAGCAAAAACTGAAATAGGTTGTAAGATTCTGTGGGGAAAAGATTAGTTTTGGCTGCATGGAACAGAAAAGGGAATTTATTCCCCATATAACCCACAGCATGGGAAATTCTTTTCTTAACTAGGAAAAGACATGAATGCATGTAGTTTTCTGAAGTGAATAATGAACTAACCTAGCATTTTTACCTCACAAATTATATCTTCTCAATAGGATGCACGTTCCCACAAAGAAAACGGGGGATTTTGCTCATTTTATTATACCAAGTTGCTTTTAATAATCTCTGTTTATGGTTGTACTTAAATATTCTTGCAAAAATGTTACCTTCCGTCTCTACTTTTGTACTGTTACTCCTTGATATTTATTTTTGTTGAAATTTTTCATATATTGATAATACAGGAATTAACATCTGCTTTTCAGTATAGCAGTATGCGACTTCTAGTAACAATTATAATCTGAAATTATAATTTCAGTCTAGTTTTTAAAATCTAATTCCTTTTGAAGGAAAAAATACGTATTCATAAATATAAAAATGTGCTCTTTATAGGTTTTGGTTGTATGTTTCACATTTATGTTTATTACTTGGGTTTTTTTAATGTTTATATTGAGGTTTGCCCTATTTAGATAAAGACATGCACAATTTTCCTTTGCATTTACTTTTTCAAGTCACACAGCATGTGTGTCTATTCTGAGGTTGGTGTGCTTTGTCATACGAAAATATTCATTCACTCCTAATTAATGTTCACCTTAATTTTATAATACAGAATTGGTCTCATAGGGCCCTACGCCACCATTACATATGCAGTGCTTATTTTATAATTCTTAGTCATTTAAAAAAGATGCGTTACGTGGCTGAACTTTTCGGATTGCACGATCCTAGAGTTGCGCTGACAACAATACTGCTTGCATTTGGTTAATGGGCACAGTACATAAATCCTCCTGAAACTGACCAAGGCCTGTGGACTTCAACTGATTGTGAAGTCTGTCGGTTGTGTAGTCTGTGGCCAGACTTTTTAAACCTGCAGCGTATTTAGGCACTTGAATTTAACCTGATTTTAGAAGTGCTAAACTCCCGTAAGCCCGATGATGTCAGTGAAAGATGCAGATAGAGAGCATTTTCAAAAACTGAGCTAATTTTGTTCATGTGTCTAAAGTAAAGAATTAGGACTCTCATTTTAGTCCTATGTAAGGCTTTAAATCCAACTCCCATTGGTACTGACTTTCCATGTAACCATCACAGCTTCTCAGGCGAGTAATAATTTATGTTCATGGTGTGTGCGAGAGGGATGTTTCAGTACGAAATGCATTTGCATTATATTGTTCTGTGCTGGAGGCGGACAAAAGGCAGAGCCCTGCTTTTCTCAAATAGCTGAATTTGTTGGAGTTGAGGGCTCAGGAGGAGCTCTGGCATAGTTTTTGTGATTCAGGAACAGTATTGCTACAGCTTTGCCCATGTGAGGGCAAGGGATGGCTATAATGTGAATGTACTTTGTGCCATCCCTGTGCTGAAATGAAACAGAAGGACTCTCATTTCTTTGGGATGCTGCTGTACAGGTAATTTTGCATAGGGTACCCATGTCGGTGAGGGGAAAGAGGGAATGGAGGGCAACATCCAGAGCTCTGATGATGTTCCTCAGCTGTGTTAAACAAGCAGCCAGGCCAGCAAAACACCATTAATTCCATAAATACACCTTTCTGTAAAGTATATGACTTGCGAAGGATGTCTTACAAGACTGAGAATAAATAGCATACATTTTTAATATAATTATGTAAACTAAAATAAATATTTTACATTTATTATGCATAATAAAATAATTAGACAACATTCTGTAAGGGGTTATGGCATCTGAAATTCCAACTGCGGAAGGATTCATTGCATTTTTGCAGCAGCAGCAGCAGCATGACTAAAGGGGAGTGACTCCACAGGGGCTACTTT